ACACACACACACACACACACACACACACACACACACTTGCATGCATGCATTCAGGGCACAATCATGCTTGTACACAGAAAAACAACCCAAAGCATCCCTTACAACAAATCCCCAAAAAGCAAAAAAGACACAATCTTTCCTTGGATGTAGATAAAAAGTTAATCGGTTTCAACAACGGAGCGTTCCCTGGAGCAGAGCAAACTTTACCTGCAAGAATGCCTGTGAGTGCTTGTGAGTAAAAATTGAAGTGATTCTTTTTTTCTGAACACAGCAGGCCATGTTCAATCCCCGGCACAGCAGTGTACATAAGTGACAGAATGAAGATGTGGATGTGTGTGTGTGATTGTGTGGGTGTGTGCATGTCTGAGTTGGAGCTTCTGTGTGTGTGATTGTGTGGGTGTGTGCATGTCTGAGTTGGAGCTCTGTGAGTGCAATGCTAAATGTGCCTAACCTTTGTGTGCTACTTCACATGGAACTAAATTGTGCATTTGACATCAAAAACTTTAAAGAAAGAAATACCTTTTTTTTTCCCTCTAGCAACCTCAGCTCAGTCTGCCTCACTATTCAAACAATAAAATCAAGAAAAAAATCTTAAACTGCAGCTTTGCTGAAGCTTTGTGATTTGATTTTATGGCAAGTAAACCATCTCAACATGAACGTTAATGCACTTTTATTTTAAAAAAAAAGCAGTAGACCTATTCGTGTGTAAATGTGTGAAGAGCATCGGCATCCAATCAAGAATAATCAACAGTGATCAAGTAATTAGTCAAACCTATAGTTCCACACCATATCACTGTATAATGTTCAGCCTGATGCATGTGTCTTTTTGCATTTGAAAGGCAATGCATCATAAAATCAGATTTGCACCCTGCTGCTTCCTAAAGAAAATAGTGTATGAGCCTGTGTGTGTGTGAGAGGGGTACAGATACTGTATAGTGTTTTGTGTGTTCAAGATTCTTGGCAAAAAACCGCAAAAGAAGGTATTGTCACCACTCGATCAATCAATAGTTCTACAATCCTTCTTTAAGGTTTTATCWGGAACCCTTCTTATATCGTAGTTTACAACAGACACTATGTTGGCTATTGTCTCTGCTCATTTGGCGAAATTTGAATTAAAACTAAAACTGTTCTGAAATGGCATTTTTTTTMTGACTGAGTCAATGACCTGCCTCTTTACAGCAGTAAACAAATTGCAAGCCCACAGTTTGTGTACTTCAAGAGGAGACGTGCAAACAACTCCACACAGACCTTTCTCATCACAATGAAACATTTTGTCATTGTTTTATTGCTTGTTTTTTTGTGATCTTTGATTAAAAGCTTTAACAGCCTGGTGAGATGGGACTTTTAGATAAGGTCTAATGTGCGCAGATGAATATAAAAGATGCGTGAAAAAATTAGCAACACAAGATAAAATGAGATTATCCTAATAAAAACCCAAAAAGCCAGCTGAATAAATCATTTTGTGTAGATTGTGCTACGTTTAGGTATTATAAGATGAAAAATCTGTTAAAAACAGAAATTAATTACTCAGCTCCAGTTTGAGCCGAACGACTGAAGCCAGATCGTGTTGCAATATTACTCTTTAGGGTTGTAAGATCTTTCAAGTGAAAATCAGTCCATTCATAAAGTTTAATGTAACCATGTGAAACCTGTAGCTCCTGTGTTTTGAAACCAGTTAAGTTTGGAAAGGCAACAGAGGAATCTCCAGAGAAACAAGCACTTCTGTACACACACACACACACACACACACACACACACACA